TACGACACCGGTGTCGTATATAACACTACTGATTTTTTTCGTGTTATCTTCCCGATCCGAGGTTAGGGTTACTGCTGCGGGAGGAGTGGCCCTTATCAACTTCGTGAAAACTCCCCACAACTAGTGAAGAATTGGTGTTCACCTCTTGCCGTGGGTAAGCGCCGGGGATAAGCTAGCGGTAGCCATAGTGTGTAACCTATTTAGCTGAGTTTTTCTTGAACAAATCATCGTAACACGCGCATAGTCAACTCTGCCGCGGGTGGCAGTCTCTTTGTATGACAGATGGGTTGCGATCTCGTGTTTAGGTAAGTATATTTTTGCTGACGAAGGATTTCAAGTTTTCGTTGAGCCTTCGACTGAATAGCGAAGGGCCGGGTGAGTTCGTAGTTTTTGTCACACGTTCTTTCGGGGGTTTACGCTAGCTAGCAAGGGGTTTGCGAAGAGTGTTGCGCGTTGCGGTTGACGTACGCTAGCGAGATGGGCCCACAGCGTCGCTGCAGTTGCTGGCAGTTTCAGCTCAATTTCCTTCATTAGTGGTTCACCAGACACGTCATGTGTCAAGGGCAACGTGGTATTTAAGAGATGGGTTTCTTTGCACAACGAAGGACCAAATGGTTTTCTGTTGTTGTGCGTGTGTTTGTATTTGTGTTGACTGTCCTAACCGGTTGACCAATGAAAATAAGCCACTTCCAGTTCGGCTGAAAATCGAAAAAGGCTTCTCAAGGCCATGATCTGGGACCCCGTGAGGGGGCGTCATGTGTGTACCGGAGAGGGTCCGAACGCCAGGTCTTGACAACCTACATCGCTCTTATTGTTTTCCGTTTTTATTCGTCACACAAGAACGTGTTGGTGCTGTCTACAACAACCATGGAGGTCTTCGTGCAACTAGAAGGGGAACTATATGTCTTCCGCGCCTCGACTTGGATGAGCCCTTGACCGAAGATTGAACGGCTGCTACCGGCCCCTCGCACACACACATGAAACATGCGACGAGCAGAACAATTCTTGAGCGAGAGCGAACCGAGTTCGAGCAGGATGAACTGAGCGAGGATTAATCAACATCAATCCGCCAGGCAGGTTAAGGCAGGTTAAGAACGCAATAGAAATTGGGTGCGCAAGGGACATAGTTACTATCGTCTCTTCCTGAAAATATATGCATTCCCCCGAATACCAGCCGTTCGATCATACCAGAGGAAATTCATCCTCCGTCACACTGAGCACAGACCTCCAAAACAGCCTCCTCCACCAGACTGAGAACAGACCTCCAGAACATCCTCCTCCATCAGACTGAAAGCGCAGACTTCAATAACATCGAGTACCACCATAAACATCCACACAAAAACAAAAAGCCCAACAACTTGCGCGAGAGGCAAGTCCCACAAGAAAAATCTACATCTCGACACGGTGTATATTGCGGCCTGCCCCGACTAGGGTCATCTCTTTCGCCTACTACTCCAGGACCTGCTTAACCAATGACGTGTTGACGCTCGTTGGGCTGCAGGAGGACCGCGGCCGGGCACCCAACAGGTCGATGGTGGTCTCGTAGCCAAGGAACACGAGGCCGTGCATCGGGAACGCGCGCAGCATGGCCGCTCCCAGCCCCCTGAACAGCACCGGCATGCCCTCCGCCCTGCGGCAACAGAAAGTCACCACAATGGGTATATGTTGTCATAGGAGTATCAGGGTTAGAATTTAGTTGGTCGGAGGATTTTCTTCTTGTATACCAAGAAGCCGTCCCGATGTTCTGTTCGGTGCCCCCCCACCAGAGCGTTCGTGCTATATTGTAAGGGTAGCACTGAGAAGCACCCTAGCGTGATCAAGGACTAGAATATGCCTGATGAGGTAACGCGGCCCCCCAAGACTTTGGCGCGATGTACGCCCAGGTCGGGTGGGACCCTGGAGCCGCCGCCGCACCATATCGACGGAACAAAAATTAGCCGAAAACGCTTTTGTCATCAACTGCAAAAGACCCGCGATTTTCCTCGAACAGACCAACATGCAATAGTAGTAATCGTCGTACATTCCGCCACTAAATACGACAACCACCACCCCGCTTGGTGAAAAATAGTTCCCGTCACCTCAGGGTCTTCATCAAGCAGTCCCGCACTCCACGGTACACCCCAGGCTCCGCCGTCTGCATCCTCGTCTTGATCACGTCTAGGCAGTAGGTCGGTGGGAGCCACATCACGCACCCCGCTAGCCCCCCCGCCAGGGCCAGAAGCATCGGCTCGGGCACCGCCGTGCTTGTCCGGTCCGGAGGCAAGAGGTAGTCCTTGGCAATCTCATACTGATTTGTATGAAAGAGGGGGAAATAGGGGGAAAGGGGCGGGGTCGGCAGGTCGAGCCGTAGTCGTTGGACCATTAACCTCGAGCATTCCTGCCATGCCGGGACGGAGCGATATGCCGGGTTTTCGCGGCCCAGGCTACGCTTCGTAAGGATGAACCAGGTATGTCATCGATTGATTGGGCATTCCGGCTAATCAAACGATTCACATTCGGCAGGCAGGGGGCACTCGCAAACTACTCACGGTCATATTTATGTCATCGTACATGCGGTAGACCAGAAGGGGGTATTGCTCTCGGAGCTACCTCCACGGGCGAAGGTGCTGTGGACGTGTTTCGGCGGCAAGTATGATTTCGAGTGGAAATTGTACCTCTAGCAAAAAAGACGTTTCCGTCGGGGAAAGATTGTTGTTACTGCATGTCTTGCTTGAAATTTCGTTTCTTGTTTCTTCGTCCAGCACTTGGGCTAGATCCTCCCATCCCGGCTCAACTACCACATACCGGTCGCCCCGGTGGTCTAGTGGTATCCTCGTAATCCGCTAGTCGCAGAGGTCGTGAGTTCGAAGCCCCATGGGGTGAAAAATTTACGAAATTTGCGGGTGAAAGCGAAGTATAGCTAAAAAGCTCTCGTGAGTACCAAACTTCGACGTTAGCACCGTTGACGAGGGAAAGGGACGGCTGGACCCTTCTCGCGATAAGAATAAAATTCAGCACGCACCGCAGGAGGAAGGTGGGGCATGAAAATAAATAAAAAGAAGAAAAAAGCCCTGCTGTTTACCCCGTCCTGTGTGACCCTGGATGGTTGTAGTTGTACGAAAAAATACACTGAAAAGTGTAGTACTCTACATACGCTGAAAAAGTGTTGTACACGTCTCACCACGAAAAATGGGGGCACTGTCGCCATAATAAATAGGACGAAAACAAAAAAACACACTCACCACAGGCGCTTCCCCTCTCCATCCCACTCCAACGTCAGGAAACCTGGTCTGGGACACACTGGAGTTGTTGCCGTAGAAGGCCGCATAACTAAGGCCGGTGAAATCGTTTGACCCAGATGAAATGTTCAAGTCGTCTCATACACTGGATAGTGCCGGGTACTCAGTATAAGGCGACCAACTCCCTTAAGCATTATGCGGCCGAATACATGGACCACCACTGCGTTCTATTTTAGCCGCACCGATGGGTAGTAGATGCCGAACTGAAGGGGCTCCCTGAGCATGGTCGCTCCCATGCCCCGACATAGCCCCATGGCAACACCCTCCCTGTAACAACACGGCAGTGAACAAACAACAAAACACCGTGCGGAGACGTCAGCAGTAAAGGAATACATAGTTCTTCGGAGGGATACAGCACGACCACGCTCCTCCGAACAAAACCAACATTCACGGGATTGGCAGCCCGCAGGGAAGTCTGCCACTCCCTTCCACTACCCGCCTCCAATAGCCTACACCTCCTCGAGAATTGCAGCCACAGACGCCGCACTCGGCAGAGCAGCTGCCAACCCTCGGCGTTTCTGTTGAGCCCGCAGCCCTCGTCCCGTAGTGGGTCACAGGCCACCATGCGGTACTACTACCACCGTGCAAGAAGCACTCGCAGTGATCTCTCCGCGGAGTATTGCCGTCGGAGACGCGGAAGGTATGAACCGGGGCCTCCCTCCCTTCCCCCGCCCGGCTGGAAAGTAATGCTTGCGGCCTCTCACCTTCGCACAAGGTCCACAACGCAAGCCCCGCTCCAGGAGTACGGCGATTGCAGCTTCTTTCCTTGCCGCACCTGCCGCCGCCCACCGGAGCAGACACATCACTTTCGCAGTCATTCCTCGTCAGGTAGTACAGGAGAATCGCTCGAGTCGAGAGAGGCACGCCAACGGAGCGCGTTTCTCGCGTTTTTCGGGAAGAGCTTTGTTCTGCAAGTATTTTTGTTTTTGTTATTGTTGTCGTTGTTGTCGTCGTCGTTGTTGTTCTTGTTGTTTTTGTTTTTGTTTTGTCTTGATATTGAAAAATCTTTTCGATCTCTACTCAGTAACTTCTCACACTCGCTGGTTCAACTAACTAGGAGTGTACCTAACTGTTTTGCGTGAGCTTCTTGCGGTATGGCGAAGGATGCACCTCTGATTGCGTGTTCGGCTAACGGGCGAGGCTCCTCACACAGCAAACACGGCCTTACTGAGAGGCCCGACAACCTGGTGCGTTCGACGCTTGCTTCGGTCTCTGTTTTCACCTGCATGACTCCCTTGACCCTCTCGAACACCTGTCGCATAGGAGCGTTCATTACGCCAGCCCACGCCCCAGCGATTCCCTTTTCAGGGAGGGTCAGCTCGTCGGTTGCTTTCGCCTCTCTCCGCCTGACCAAACCGTTGGGAACGAAATGCCCAGTAGGCGCCCACAGACCACCAGAAGTTAGAGGTCGCTTCTCTGTTGTTTGAATATCTCACCAAAAGAAACGAAAGAATATCAAAAATGACGGGGCTTGTCCTGAGGGCCTGCACGTCTATTTAGTTTGATCTTTGACGATCGTGATAAATCTCGGTATTCAGTAGAGGTACTGCAGGCGACCTTCATGAATGCTCACCGTAGTAGAAACCTGCCGGCGTAGCCGTAGGAGGAAAATGACACAGCGAACATAGCTCCGTAGCCAACGACCGGAGAGAGAAGGCCCCGGTATAGGGACAACGTCTGTGAGAGGTAAACGACAAGGGGTGGACGGGAGCTATAATAGCTATGGCTTTGCAGATGGGTTCAAACTATTGCGCGCGCACAGGGAAACGGGACCGGAACAACAAATTACCGCTCGACAACCACGACGAAGGTGCACCTGTCGAACCGCACGTAGACTATCGTCAGTATCAACTCCAGGCTGAGATATCGAGCATCTCACTTTGGAGACTCACATGCGATTTGTGTACCTACCATGGCATGAATCCATAGAAATTGTCACTCTTGAGACTTCATGTAGACGCACTTTGTGTACCCCTACCGTTGGCATGAATCACCTCGACTCACCCCTTCTTTTCTCGCCATCGATGTGAGTACGTTCGAGATGCTCGAGTATCTCGAGCGTCCAGAAGTCTGCAGTCTGTGAGAAAATGTTGCATTGAAGGAAAAACACAGGGTCAACCGGTGTAATGCGATGACAAGGTTAGAGAGGACTGGCCATCATCCCTCCCAAAGTGTTGAGTCTGGTAGGTGTGCTTATTAGACTAGACTATGCGGTCAGTGATACTTTTGCGACCGAAAACAAAGCATTCACAGGCACGCGCATAGTCTATGTGTCCTGGTTCTTATCCACCCGCAATCGCTTGCAAGTTCCTTTTCATGCTCTGCGTACCAGAGGGTAGTAGCAGCTAGCTTTGCGAATCGCGAAGGTGATCGTTAATCATGTGCAGCCAATGGCAGGAGGCCTCTTCCCTCTCCTTGTGAAGTCTGGAGAGCGCGTCAAGACAACTCCGACGACCATGGACGGCACACAAATTACCGTGAGAACACAACCTACCTGGACTTTATGGTGTCTAACGGGTAGACCACCGTCATTCCGATTACCCCGCCTGCAGTACCTCCGGCAAGCTCTTGCCAGAGTGAAGGCATCACAGCAACAGTAATCCCCTGCTCCCTGGGAGATGCCCACAAGCTATGAAGTAGTCCAGGAGATTCGCACCTCTGGTGTATGGATAGTCAGATCAATCGACAAAGGTTAGCTTAGGGGGCGCTATCGGGCATCACCCTTTCATACGTCTATGGCACATACACACAATTCACCGAGTGTGCTGCTCAACTGCTTATTGCTGCTCCTCGTACAGCGGTAGGCTTTTCCCCTGTAGGCGTTTTTTTTTTTTTTTGGCGTTTCACGGAAATTTTCGGCGATTTTTTTTTAGTGCCACCAAACACCTTTTTCGGCCACTTTCGGCGACTTCCACATGTTTTTCGGCGAGTCACAGTTCAGTTTCGGCGATTGTTGTTGTGTTGTCGATTTTCGGCGACGTACATAGCATGTACTTCCAGTAACACAAACGAGCGGGTCGCGACGCGGTCGGGCTGCTGCGGAGTTCACCTGTCACCTGTCCGCGAAAAGCGAAATGATGCGTCCTTCGCCCTTCTATTATTTTTCTACAAACTACACCTTGCACGTATACGCTGGTGTGTTCATGCAATATTCCGAGCCCTCAGTTATCAAACAAATCAACGAAATGGAATACTAGTCTATGATGCTCCGATACTTAGACGTTACGCATGGCATGCACGCCGACTGCTGTGTGTGAGTGTCAAGCTGTCTCCTCCCGGAGGTCGCAAGCAGGGGCATCGTGAAAGTAGTCGGCGAGAATCGGTGACCTCAACCCATGATTTGGCGGAGCCCCCTCCAAAAACGGCGCCACATTTTGCTTTTCGGTGACAGTTTGTTTTTTCGGCGACATATTCCGGAATTCGGCGTTTTCGGCGGTCGCCTACGGGGGAAAAGCCTATCCAGCCTTATGCAGCGGTTGGTTGTCGGCCCAACCCGGTGTCCCTCTTGGAGGGAACCGATGTCAATTACGCCGCATGTGCCGTTTCGGGTGCTTTCATTGTCTCACCGCCTAGGTACTGCTGTCGGATTGATGTGGGAGTGTGGGAGTACAAGGCGGTTCTTGACAGTCTCCCTCCTCCCTCCCTCACATATACCGCTGCTGCCATTGCCACGTCGTGGCACTTTTTTCTGTTGAAGGCGCAAACCTTGTTGGTTTTCAGTTTTTGGACAACTTTGGTGCATGCTTGTACAGCAGTTCGCCCCGGGGAGAAAAACCCGGGCACGCACTTCCGTCAGCTGCTGTATTGATGTACGCGTTGGCAACGTGTACAAAGTGCGGCTTCATTCGCCTTGACCAATCAATGCAACTGTTTTGAATAATGATCAGACATTAAGTTTAAACTACAGATATTTACGAAACGCATGTTGGCTAAGAGTGTACGTTTGTTGGTGGTGCGTGTAGTTGTGTTCACAGTCAATCAAGATCGCAATAAGATCGTGCTCATATTTACCGTACAGGCTACTACACCTTCCTCCCATCTATTTCCTCTCCAAGGGCAAACACACAAAATTTCGTGTGAATGCTTAGGGTTGTGACGCACGACTATAAACTAAATGTATCAAGTGGCTGAATTCATCCCACCTGTCTGTGTGAACCAGGATATAGGAATCTTCCCAGTAGTATGGACGCACATACAATCGTATAGGTCCGGTGATACCAGGAACGACGTTCTCGTGGTCTGAAGATATTTACAACGAGAAGACCCTCCGGCTGGTCACAGCAGACGGAGGGTAGAAGCGAGCCCAAAAGCTCACTCTCACCTTCACCCTAGCAAGGCTGACTAACATCAGCCACGCTTGGCCATTCCTTGCCACATTGCAATAAGAGCGAAGTTACCTCCGTCGGTGAACGGTTATTCACAACTTCAGGGACCTTTACTCACAACGGAGTAAGGGTACTCTCATTGGCGTTCGACGAAAGTCTGTTCGCGGGTACGCCAGTATGTCTGGCGTAAAATACCCGAGAGAGAAGAAGGGGACAAACTCTCCTGCCCGTGTGGCCGCTAGCGAGGACGGGTTCACCCCGGTCCTCACTGCGGGCCAGAAAAAGAAACACAAGAAAAAACAAAAGGCTCAGGCAGCGGAAGACGCTACTGACTCGTCAACTGCTGAGCAACAAACGGCAGAGGCAGCAGAGGTGCTGACCAAAGTCTCCGCTCTGGAAAAAAACAAGAGCGGAGACAGCTCGAACGGGGGGGAAGAATCCGAACAGGATTCAGCCGCCCAAAGCAACGACGACGACAGCGACAACAGCGACGAAGAGGGCGCACTCAGCGAGCCGGGCTCACACGGCGTTGCAGGCGATATGCTGGATGACGACAACGTCCTGGGGGGGGGGCACCTGATCCCGAACAGTGCTCTCGGGCGGTTTGTGGCGGGCGCGCTCAATCATGCGGTCAAGACGAAAACCGACCCACCCGGCTTTGTGCTTCAGCTAGCGCTGGGAACCTCCATCCCCGACCCCGTGATAGCCCAGGTGAAACCTCGCCGTCTTAGTCATGAGTTAGCCCACGAAGACCTCACTGCTCGCCATGCCGCTGTCAACAACACCAACAGTAGTAGTACTCCACAATCTCGGAACATGCAGATCACCGATTCTATCTCGAAGTTGGCAAGCACCCCGAACAACACAGGGGCAATGCAACACCCTGGTACACCGAACAGCACCGCGGTCAACCCAAACCTTGAGCTGCAGCAGTACAACCCGGTAGACCAGACGCACGCTAGCACGAAACGTTTCACGCTCAAAGCTACGGATCTGCCTGCCTCGATCAAAATCGAAGGAAAAGCAGACGAAGCCATTCCTGAATTGATGGCGCTTTATCGTTCGCGTATCAGCCTTCTATCTCAGGATAACGTATCTCAGCAAGAAATCGTCCACCGTGCTATCAAACACCTTCCTCTCGTAACGCAAGGTACAGCAGCACAGAGCCTCAACCTCGTACTCAGTTCAGCAATTGAATGGAGGCCTGAACCCATCCTAGCCACCCTGCGGGCCAGAGGAGAACCTGTAACACGCAGGCCGCCAAACACATGGCGGGAATGGGTCACTGCTCTGACCACCCTATTTGCACCCAACAACAGAATCGCTTTACTTGCTCGGGATGTCATGACCCTGGAGGCCGAGTCCGATGAATCTGTTGATGCGTTCGCACTTAGAGTGTCCAGAGCATCACGCCTGCTGGCAGAAGCTGAACGCACAGTTCCAGCAAACAAAGCACCTCACGAGCATGTCTTCGACAAAGCTATGATTGCATCGTTCGAGAACGGCCTCCACCCACACATCCGCACCGAGATGAATCGGGAAGATGCCAACGAAACATTCATGGAATCAAAAGGACGAGCTCGAAAACACGAAGCTAATCGGTTGCAAGAATCACCGATTCCGTCCAACGATACCTCCCTTGCTGTATCTTCCATGTACGCACCGACCGGAAGCCAGCTCAGCAACCAGAACGAATTGCTGACAGCGCGGATCAATGCCTCGAGGAAGCCATCGAACAAGACAACCACGTCTCCGGCATCACCAAAAAACACGAACGACCGGTCGCGCGACAAGAAAGCCAAGAAAACCCCGGCTATTCGGGACAATAGCGCCAAAACGGTGACCTGGCGGGACCGCGCCGCTGGTCGGGCAGGTCCAGATGGGAGATCGACCAGCAAGAAACCGCGCACTCAACAACAGGAATGCGACTTCTATTTGTGCAAGCACACAAATGGGAGGTTCGCCCACAGCCGTGCGAACTGCCACCATGAAGCTACCCTGAAAAAGCACAAGTTGAAGATAGTGCGAGACACGTAGGGTTGCCCACGGAAGCTAGGTTCCTAGGCTGATGAGGGAAAAGAGTCGCTTGGGAAAATACCAGTACACGGAACGAGGGGGGCCAAACACCAACCCACGTAGAAAGGTACCAAGTCGGACAAGAGGGATAACGAGCACCGAGAAAAGCGTGTTCACCCTCTGGTAGGAAGTAGTCTGGAAGCAGATAAGGTGCACCGGGAAAAAGCAGCCGTAGTACCACGTGGTAGGCAGCCGTGCGTGATAGATCAACAGTCGCGTAAGGTGTGTCTCGATAGGAGTGCTCCCGTAGCTGCGCAGGTGGACACCGTTGCCCTAGTCAACAGTAGCGTTAAAGCCGCAACAGGCGCGGGTAGAGTAAAACTAGCGGTCGAACGATCACCGCAGGCTCTATACTTAGCTACAGTAACTAGAGGTCTCAAGTCGAAGCATAGGTCGAGAAGTTTGACTGCCGACAATAACAAATGAGGAATTTTCTGCATTCCACATGTCAGCGCTAGCTGGATACCCTGAAATCCATCTGCGTTGAATGCTGCGTCAAAACGGGTACGCATTCCTGCCAGAATCAACAATCAATCGGTTGCTGAAATTACAATTGATACAGCGTGTGACGTACCATGCATATCTGCACAATTTATGCGTCGTCACCAAACGTTGAAAAACACTGAAATAGTTCCCGTGCCTCCCGGAGCAATAAATCTGCGAAGCGCGGATGGCTCACCTCTTCAATTTAGAGGATATACTCGTTTTGAACTAACACTGGGAGAAATAACGATTCCTGTCGAAGCACTAGTGTTGCCGTCGTTGGGACCCGATAACATGCTGCTAGACAATAGTATCATGGGAGCATTCGGTGCTATGTTAGATTGGCAAGCAGAACAGCTGTCATTCAAGAATTCAGAGGTAAAAATACCCGCGAGACACCGAAAAACAAAACAGCCCGCGACCGCATCGGCAGATGAAGTTAATTGCTCAATAGTAGCTTTAGACGGTGATACAGAACCAGTGCCTGTCTATCTCAGCAAGAAATGCTGCGTTCCTGCCCAACATGAAATAGCAGTGGAAGTACATTCACTTGAAGCTCCGGCAGAAACAACACCGGCGTTAGTAGAACCACGCATAGTCACAACTGAAGACATGCAGGTACAATGTATTCCACAAGCATTTCGCAGGATAATAATAGCACGTACTGTGTGTCACTGGTCCGCGAACAACAAAGGAGCGGTGGTCCAAATAGCCAATCCCTCCAATCGACAAGTGTACCTCAAGAAAAACGCGCTTGTAGGGCACATCTCTTTCGTGAACACAGTGTTGCCGCAGACAGCGAGCAGTGTTTCAACGAGTAAAGAAGAGACGGCCAAACACCGTCAAGACCTACAAAAGGCACTTTCCAAAGCTTTCAAGAATACCACCTTTTCG